GGAGCCAGTGGGAAACACCACTGATTACAGGCCTCCCACTGGATTCTGCTACAACCCTCTGAGCTCTGCCAGTCAGCCAGTTCTTGATCCACCTCACTGTCCATTCATCTTACCCACATTTCATGAGTTTAGCTACAAGGATGTTAGGGGACACAGTGTCAAAAGCCTTGCTGAAGTGAAGGTAGTAGCAGGGTCATGCCCTGAAATCTTTGTCCATGACACATTGCTGCTGTTTAGCTGAGAGATATGAGAACTCAGAACATCCTATGAGCTGTGCTTTGCTCCAGGTTGCTCCAGGCTTGATTGAAACGGGTCAGCAGTATGAATAAGATCACATACATTTTGTTTCCTTATGTTCCCTTTTCTCCCCCACTAGCAAAAATCTGAGTAGGATGTTGAGATGAAAGCATATTGGAAGTCAGCTGTTGTGAGTTTACGTGTAGTTGAACTATTGCTCCCAGTCAGGCAACTGTCTTGATTATTATGGTTGGGGTTTTTTGGTTGGTTGATTTATTTTTTTGTTGTTGTTGTTTTTTGGTTTTTCTTATTCTGGGGTTTTCATAAAAGGGATTCATTTTGGCCTGCTCAGAGGTGTTACATGTGTTAAAAGGGCAGATGGGATGAACAGCACTGTCCCTAGGTACGATTCAATAGCGTGTTTTCTTTAATTTGATCTTATGCCCAGTTACCCAAAGGATCTAAGGACTAACCCTGCTCAACAACTGCTGTACACAAATGGGGACAAACAAACCTGTGCCAAACCAGTAAGCCTGAACAACTGCAGACACTACACCACACCCCAGTGCTGTCTCTGTGACCACAGACTCAGTTTTTTGAGGGAACCAGCCCAGACAAACAGCTTTTTGCAGGTCAGCAAAAGCTTGAGACCAGGTAGGGCTATTTTGACTTACTGGGAAATTCTACAGCCTCCAAAACCAGCAGCTTTTTTTTTTTTTCTACTATCAGGAAAAGTTAAGCTCAAGTCTTCCAGGCTTATCTTATCAGAGGAGATAACCAGGGTCTTCTGAGTGTCTTGGACCTCGTGCCTTCCTGCTGGTGACTAGTACCCCAATGATGCACTACTGGGTGCACATTTGCTGTGTGAGCTGTGCTGTGTCATGTTCTGCATCACCAGTAGTCTTTGCAGTAGACACCACCCAATATAACACACTGCAGTGGTAAAATCAGAGTCCTGAAAAAGGTACAGGTGATGACAGCTTTACCATGCTCATACTGACACTAAGCATTACGCTTAAGCCAATCTTTGGTGGCTGGCACCCTTAACTCTTTGACAATAATGTCATGCAAAACCATTGTGCTTTGACCTACAGAATGAACTTGAGTTATACCTTAAGCTATTGTTGTGCTGAAAATTTGTCCTCAGTACTCTGTGAGTGGGGAGGACAACAATGTTACTGGGGGAGACAGATGCTGAAGGAAGAGTGCAATTCCTCATAGCAACCCAAGTTTTTTATCAAATGTTGAGATATTAACAGGTCCTTTGGGATGAACTTGTGTCCCCAAACAAGCAAACCACAGGAATTACTGTCCATAGGCCTATTTCTCAATCTGGAAACAGAAAAACAACTTCAGAAGGTAAGTCCCCTATATGTGTCCTACCAAATGTAGCTGGCATGGGCCTGCAGAAATCACAACAATGCCACAGCTTTCACTTCAGGCCTGATAGACAAGCTGAACATTTTGGGGAACCATCTGAATCATAACAGAGCCGATGGCAGAACAGTACACCTTTCATCATCAAATCTGAGAATCCTCAGGCTATGGAGGCACTGAAGCGAAGGACAGATGGCATTAAACCTCACCTTCCACTGATGATACTCCTGGTATCTAAGGTGTAAATGCACAGCTAAATAGAAGAAAACTGAAATTAACAAGAGTTTTCAGCTGTGATGCTTATCTCTTTCAGAAAAAGAACATGACACAGATGTTTTATTTTCTGTTGGTTCATTTATTTATATTTTTATTATGAAATCAATGACAAAGCTCTTTCACTTCAGGAAGTAGCCTAAAAAAATGGTCAGTAAGAAATGGCAGAGACAACTTCAAACACAACAGAACAACAGAATGCTTGAAAAATGTTGCTTGGAGGACCCCTCTGGAGCTCACACAGTACAACTTCCCATCACCAGCAGGGGCAATTAAATGAGGTTGCTCCAATGCTGGAAGAGCTCACTGAACCCCATCCCATCAGTAAACACTCAGGTGAGAAAATGGTCCCCTGACCTCTTGGCAATGTCCTGTATTGCAACTTGTGCCTGTTGCCTTTGTGTCTCTACCTGTGCCCTTCTGAGAAGAATCTACCTTCATTATCTCCGTGCTCCACCTCCTGGGAGGTGACTGCAGCCAAATGGTCTCTGATGCTTCCTCATCCCTGGGCTGAAACATGGCAAAAATCGTTGTGAACTTAGGTGATTAAAGTCACGGTCACACAACGGTCTGGTGAGGGTCAGATGGGCAAGAAATGCTGAGGATCTCTGCTAACCTAATTGTTTAATCACTGATTTATAGTAATTTATTTAGATGGCTATCTAATCACTCACTAAGCAGTTGGATAATTGTCCCTGGTGTGAAGCCCACCAGGATTAATCAACCAAAGAAACTCCTCCCATTGAAGACCTTGCGGACTGAAGGAGCCTGAAGGACCACAGGTGTCATTATGAAATCCACAGGGAAAAGCACTTCAGGATTCTGTAAAACTTATGGCATGTTTTTAGGGGGTTTGATGGAACATGTCAGTCATTATGTAATACTTAGGGAAAGGACCAAGGAAAAAAGAAGGTTCAATATGGCTCAGGAAGGAATAAACATGGGAAAGCAGAGGCAAATGTGGATAAACAGGACTGGCTCAGTATAAACAAGATTCTGTTTATACCGAACAGTCAGTGTTATTTCTCTTTGGGAGTCCATCACTACTGTGTGCCCCATCCTCTCATTAAATTCTACTTCTTTGTGGGTGCATCCTCTGCTCTTGGCAGGTTCCTGTGAACACCAGTGAACTTCAGGCTGGAATTACCAGTAAGAGAAGAAGTCTGGATACCAGTAACAGGAGCATAGCTCATATCCTCTGGGTGCCAGCAGCAGAGCAGGCCACTGGGATTTGGGCTGGACAAACTATCTGTGCAAATACGTGTGTTTGTTTTTCCTTGAATACTGATCAGCTGGGGAACAAGATCAGGTTGTCAGGGCTGCTCGCAGTCTCCCTTTCTGCCCAGTGGGTCTCCAGAGCTGTTCACCAGCCCATGGGCCCCATCCTGCACCATTATCAGCCAGGAGTATTTGCTTGGATGGTACTGCAGGTGGTCAGCAGCCCATTTCCCAGTGTTCCAAGGTCCCTCTAGAGGGTGGTCCTCCCCCCCAGCATATACAGCACTCCTCCAATTTGGTAGCATTTCCAGATTTGCTCTGGTCTTGCCATGCCCTCACCCAACTTAGGAAAGATTTTAAATTGCCTTACCCTAGCACTGCACTACTGTTATCAGTGCCTGTGGGACCTCAGACCACAGAAGTCAACCCTTAGAGCTTGAAGATCCAGTTCACCTTCAAGCCCACTGATCCACAGCTCAACACGTGGCCACCAAGTACCTGATGCTGAAGGCCTTGCTAAAGTTGTCCAGCATCCAGTGCTCTTTCCTTCTCCACAGAGTGTAGGTGCAGCAGCCTAGCATGTGTGCCTGACCTGCTGGAAAGGCTGGGGTGCACGCTGTGGATCTTCTGCTGGCTTAGAGAGAGCCAAGGAAAACGGAAGCTTTTTTTTTCTAGAGAGCAGAAATACAGACATACAGTATCTGAAATATGGACAGATTTAATATTTTTTTCCTTAAACCTGAATTCATTTACAAGAAGGAAGCTCAAGCTTCATCATGCTCTGACTGTAGGACTGATCACATGTTACAAGCTTTGAGCTGAGCTGACTGATGGTGACCTGGTGAATCTGGTAAAGGAAGCTACAGACCACTGTAAATGGCTGAACCTGGCCCTGGCCAACAGGAAAGGTGCTGAATGGAAAAAATTAACATGTCAAAACTTTCTCCACACTGAGAAGACATTCCTTCTCAGAAGGTATTTATGGAGGAATCTATGCCCATGCACAGGGTACTACCGAGGAAGCTACAGCGCAGGCTGATCCCACACCAGATCAGGGACTACAGATGACTTGGACAGAAGGAACTGGTATGCTCAGAATGGCAAAAAAAATAGCATTCCTGCTTCCCACAGCACTTGACTCCGTGACTGAGGGTTTGGAACACGCTGAACATGATATGGGGAGATTGGATGAGAAGGGAAGAGGAACAACCAAATAGCGAGATAAGAATTTGTGTTGAGGCATTTGCATTCTCTGTACATTCAGAAAAAATACCAGAACTTTAAGTTGATTTAAAATAAAACTATTTTTACATAATTCCCCAGTTAAAGTCTGTTTGCCTGTGGCAAGAACCAACTCATTCCTTCGCTGCCTGAGCTTTGCATTGCTATTGCCCATAAGCTGATGAAGCTAAAATATGACTTCATTTGCCTGTGCCCAAAAGGGAAAGACTGAAAAAGAATAAAAATGGCAATTCTGAAGTTGAAAGTACCACGTTTCTTTCATGCATCCCCTAAACTGTGAGTTAACTTGAGATAGAGACACAGTGTCTTCTTCTTCCTTCCTTTCCTGGTCTTGCAGACCTAAATAACACAGTTTTCCCAGGCCTTTTATTTTAGCCTGGATGCAATCTGGACATCTTCCATCTTCAAAGGAGAAATTATTATTTAACTAAGTAATCTGAAGAACTGTAACCTTAATTCACACACAGTATTTAAGATTCCACTATTTGATAAAATGTCCAAGAGATGTACTAGAAGCAAAAAATATCAGAAGGAAGGAAAAGAGGATCTTGTGAATGTCATCCCACATTGTTTTAGGATTCTGTACACCAGAAGCAACTTCCCCTCCACCCTTTCCATCTCTTTATTAGCACTCTTTCTCTCTGAGTCAAATATTTTTTAAACATAATCTGTTTGAATGTTAGGGATAATTGCTTAGGAATTAACCAAGTGAGCAAACAGAGAATATGTTGGTAATGCCCACATGCTTGCTCACCAACAGGTAACCAGAAGAATATTGGGAACGATAAAAATGATAAATTTGTACTACATTAACACCATATTTTGCAGTGAAAAGTGATTTATTCGAAGTATTTAATTTTACATCTCCCAGCAGCTCACAGTGAATGGCAATACGTTGCCAGCATATCAAACATTGTGGTTGCTCTATAGGTGAAAAAAACTTCATTATTAGTGATCAAGATGGCCTGTTATTAACACATAAAAACTAAAGGTTGCTTTATCTGAAGTATGAGATGCAAAGTGTATTAATGAGCCTAACAAATGGGCTATCAGGTCTATAGGTCTTGAAAGCTTTCTTTTTCCAGATTTATAACAAAAGTTAAAGTTCTCTCTATGCTTCTTTTCTGCTACACCTCTAATATATTTAGATTAAATCCTATCAGCTACTAACATGGACAAAAATATGAGGCAAAGAAACACACATAAAGAATATTGATAGTCAGTGTAGTCATCAACATATATCTTCTTGACAGAAGCAAGGAAAACAACATTGTCAGGAATTAATTACAGCACATTCAAGTGAGATGGCGAGACAGGTCACTGGGGGAAGGTGATGCAAACTGCAAACACACCTTTTATTCTGCTGGTAACTTAGTCCATTAAGCTGTTTTCCTATTCACTGCTCACAACTCTCTACCATCGTGTGGAAAACACGACCAAATGTTCAGCATGGCCGCCACAAACCTGATTTAACATTTATACACTGATAAGAAGAAACACAACATTTTAGCAGTGGATGGACTCCACAGAAGATTCATTACTTTGTTAGACCACAAGCATTTCTTATTCAGTGCCTGAAGTGCAGATCGAAATCCATTACAGATAATGATTGCACTCACCTTACAAACAAAATGCTGCCTTTAAACAGAAATGCTTGCTGCCTGTGCAAAACAAGCAAAATCACTTACCTGGGATATTTGTAGAACAATAATTTAGTAATAATTTCAATGCCTCCACTAGAAACAAAACAAACACAAAAACCCCCTGAGGCTAACGGACAGAAGATTTTGTGAACAGCACCAAGAAGTCCTGAATATTTTTAGGATCCTGTAGTCTAAGAAGGTAAAAAAACTGTACGTGCAGAAGATTTTCTCAGTGCCCACGAGGCACTGGTTTGTATTTATGTTAAGATATACATTTTAAGGTTCAAAACATGTAATATCACCATTCTGTTATTTAGGGAGCGCTATAATGGCAGCTACAGAAGAGAAGTTATCAAAAAAACAGTTCAACATTTTTAAAGCAAATTCAATTTTAACACTGGACAGACCCTTCAAACCCTGACCCGAATAAACAAGGTTACTCTTCAAATTCTCTTCAAATAAAGCCTTTATTTTCCTTCTTCCATTCCAGTGACACCGGACTTTGCAACGCAGAACGGCACACCGCACACTTATTTTTCAATCTTGCACTCTGTGAGAGTGGTTCTGATCCATTGCTGTGAAGAACAGGCAGATAGCAGCTGTGATGAACACATGCACTCCCTCATACAGCAGTTTTGGAGAGAAGACACTCCATATGAACAGGTGGTACCGCAGACCCGTCACCAAAACAACGTAGATGGCAACTGGAATTGAGCGCATTAGAGCGTAGCAGAAACAGCCGTGGCCCACTGCTGCTGAATTCCTGGTAACAAAAACAGAGCAGTTTATTCTCAGGCAAACTTAGTAAAGACATCGGAGTTCCTCCACTCTTGAGCAGTATTTCGCAACGCAAGGAATACTCACAGATCTCCATTTCGTGTTAGAAAGCTGATTATTGATGCAATTATGTGACTAATAAAGCTTGTTCTTATCACCTCTATATATGCTATAACATGTAAGTATGTGAGGTGTAAGCATAGCAACTGTCATTGCAATAAGGGTACCCAGTAGTTCACCTCACACTTAAATGGTTCTGTGCTTTAATATATTTTGTTCTAACTGCTAAAGTCTCCATTAGGCAGTTTCAAGATAGTTTTGCCTCCTGTTGGCCTTCCAGTGCCTTTCCACAGAATTTCAGTGTTAAGAGGAAGAGAATAGACTTCAGTTCTCTTCACAAAGCTTCCTAACCTGTTCAGTGGATCACCAGATGGAGTCTGTGCCCTTTGTAAAGAGCACAAGACTTGCCAGAGTACACTGCTGCCCATAGCCAGTAACACTCTTCAAAACAACATAAAAATTGTGCTACTGGAAAGCTTTGCAAAGCTAGCTAACATAACGTTCTCCAGGGAACACCATATTCTTAGGCTTGCAGGAGCAACACACGGCATTCCTGTCACAGCAGCTTTAGCTCAGCTGGGTCTGCTGTATCGCAGGAAATGTCTGCCCCAGGTGTAACCTACATGGTCCAAATCTGCCACATTGATGTATTCTGGTGGGTGACAAGAGTCAGATGAAAATGGAAGTGAAAGGGTTTTATGCACTTTGATTGTTCTCCCTCTCCTGAAGTGCCAAACTCAAAGAAACGATACTGAGTTGGCGCCTGTCCAATTTCCCCAGACCACATCTGCAGAGGCTAATTCACACCAAATTCAGATGTTTACCTGTTCAGACAAAAGGAAGGAATAAAGCTATTTTGCTGGAATAATAAGAACATTTTCCTCTCCCTATCAAAACATTTTACATCATCAGTTCCCAAAAGAACTCACTGGCAAAATGCAGAAGTGTTTTACACTGAGGTCCTGATCTGAGAATCTGTTCTGCTCCTCCCAGTTTTTAATCCTGATCTTGTTCCAAGTAATGAAAATTTAACATGACTAGCACTTCTGTGAGATGTAAATTAGTCACTTATGACTAAGTAAGCTACAGAATGCAGTATTTTACATAAACCACTACACTTCTTATTCTTTAAATAAAAATAAGTAGGATACAGCCCTGTTTTCCAGTGAAGTCAAGATTTAAATTCCCAAGGCTTTCAGTGGAAGGAAGAACAGGTCGTGTTGAAAGCAGAGTTGAAAAATCAACTAAGAACAGCAGCCATGAATGACTGCAAAACATACATTTAGTTCACAGAAGAGTATTTCCCTTGCTGTTTAGCCAAGGAAACTGTGACTTGGGAGTGAACTAGGCTGTTCCCCGCTTCTGTATAACTATTTTAGTCTTTAGTGAGCATGTGTAAATAACCAGCTTTATGTTTAATAACCAATTTTGTTGACAACGATTTAACAACCTGCAGTTCACTCAGTCTTAGCTATTTTCACGCTGAGTAAAAACAGTATGTGTAGTAAAAAAAGCAGTTGTTGAACGACACAACAGATTAGACATAGGAAATGGCTTTTGAGTCAGATAGGGCAAACAGCTAATTTTTAAACCACTTTCTAGAGTCATAAAATGCACTCCACAGACCATCTAGATGAAGGCTATCAGTGGTTGTGGCTATCACATTTATTAAGCTCAATGATGGGATTTTAAAGGGAACACTAAAAGCAAGAAGTGAGTGTCTATGGAGTTACATATCCAGGTCTTTCAAGAGCCCTGTATTTCAAAATTAAATTTCAGTTCATATATTTTTCTCTAGTTTGTGCTCTCCTAACAACACATTTAGTGCATTACGGTGAAAAAGATCCTAATCATAAATCAGTGGTGTTAAAAATTTTTTAAATGGCTATTTTTTAACTATGAAGAAACTGTCCAGAAGCTTATTTTGAACTGAATCTCTATGTGTTCACTTCTTTGGCTGAAAAATTAGGTAAACATAATATTTTAGATATTTCATTTTACACTGAAATGAGAGCACACAGGGATCTTTACTAGTAACACTTAAATTTTGCATTTTCATATTCTGATTACTGGCAAAGAATCCCCAAGTCAATGTTACAATTCTTCCCGCATTCTGATATCATCAAAATGATGGACTGTTGTTTGCTTATATAATAGCTTTACTTCCAAAAGGTCTCAGCACTCACTTCACCTCTCAAAAAAACATGGACAGCCACCTGCAGAGGAAAATCTTGGCCAGTTTCACAGTATAATGCAGTGGTGCAATTTAGAGAAGGCAACAAAAGCACACTGTATCCACAAAGTTTAACTGTCAGTGGGGTTCAATAGCAGAATAATTTGGTTTATTTTGGAACTGGTGAAAGGGTTCACACGTGTGTTGTTGAGGAAACATCACTGGAATGACTGAGCACAAGCCAGTTACATCGACTTGGCTGTTCTGATGCTACAGCAACAACTCACTTCTTCAAGCACATCACCATCCTTTATTCTTGCTTCAGCCAGGGACAAAATCTGCCGAACAGCTAAGAGTAATGACTTTGTGCACTCCTTCTGCTCATTCTACACACACAATGACCACAAGGAACCAGGCCACAGGAAGGCAGGAACAGGCTGCTTTTGATAACATCACCATGACAATACAGCTAGTTCAGCTGGTTCCCGAGTGATTCTGAAAGAAGTCACCAGAAGAACACAGAAAGTTGGCTGTGACATGCCACTCATGTATCCTACTGTTTATGATCTGGATCAGCCAGTAGTGAATAACCTTGCAACATCTCACTGCTGCTGCAGTAAAAATAATGGAAGACCACAGGACAAATCTAAGGCATCAATCTGTAAATACTCCATTCCAAACTGTCTCTTCAGCAATTAATGCCTTTCTTCATTTAAAGGAGAAGAGCATAGAGAGACATAAACTGGATACACTACATCCACATTCTGACAAAACCAGCCCAATACTAAGGCCTCTGCACAAAGAAGCAGTAAGAAAAGGAATAGTCAGCCTAATACTGAGCTCATGTAGCAAGTTCACTTATGAGGACTTGAACAAGAAATCCAAATGTTAAAGATGACAAAGCATATCCAAACTTCATGCAAGATCCAGAAAAAAAACAATGACTTTGGAGGCTTCTGAAGCAAAGAACACTACAGATTCACATCACTAGACATGCCATATTTAGACTGAAAGCATTAAGTACGGTGTAGAGCACATATTGTCTTTCAACAAAAATCATCTCTTTTAATTTAATATTAAATACATAGAAAAATATGGCCAAGAAATTGTGCTATTAATAGGTTTTCTGCTTCTTTGGATATCCGAAATCCTGACTGCCAGTGTTTTGTCAACAAATCTTTCACCTCTCAATCTGTCTCCAAGGTGCCATTAAAATGGGTAAATACAAGGCTTGCAAAATGAAAAAATTATGGTGCCAAAAAAAAAAAAAGAAAGAAAAATAACTCTTTTCTTGTGAAAATATATCTCCCAGTTATACAGAATACACAGCAGATGGTGGCAACAAATTTTGTAGTTTAAAAATCAAGCAAAAAGCTCCACAGACAGCCCTACAAATGCATCCACAAGGAATTTTAAAATACACTGCTTTACAAGGGTTCCCACCCTTGTTCCAACCCACCAAATCAAACAAACATTTTAGAAACATGCAAGCATATGAGCGAGGAATACCCTAGTATTGCAATTTTTCTAGAGTTGGAGGAGGAGGGTTGTTTCTGGAGCGTTTCAGCTGAATATTACTGCCTAGGTAATATCTTATTACTGAATTTGCCTATTTTAAGGCAATTTTTACTGTATTAACATTTTTTCCTGTATTAAGTGGCACTTTTCTTTCCAGGCATTCTGCAGTTTCACTTTGGAAGATGTCCCTTTTTAGTGGTCTCTGAAAAATAGTTGGCGTTTTGTTAATTTGTCCTGTATATACTAATAAAGGGTTGCAGTCAGAAACAAACCCTTGTAGCACTCCAAGTGCCTGCAACATCTTAAGAGTATCTGCAATCTGTATGAAATTTCTCTGATCTAAGCGAATATCAATCAGTTCATCAGCAAGAACAAATTTGCTACGTCTCTCCCACATGTCCCACTCTCACCCATTATGATTCTTGCAAGGCCTTTTCAGACTACAGCACAGAATCCTGCATTGTCAGGAAAAACACAGTTCCAAAGGAACCCGGAGTCCTTTGGAGATTTACATGATCAGCTCTGGCACAGAGCATCAATCAGAACTACGTTAATTCTACAAAGTCACAATTTTTGTCGCCAAACACCATCAGTGGACAGATGTAAAAAAGGGTGGTTGCCAGCAAGCTAAAAGGGCTGTCAGGTATATTCTATTAGCACGGAAATTATGGAACTTGGGGATGATTACTGATTTTCCTGTGCATTCTCCTTCCGAGTAAGAAAGGCAGAGAAGCTACGACTGCCCGAGCAAGGTCAAGTGTCTGTGGCAGTAAGTTACAGGGGACTATAGCATATGTGGACTGCAATACAGGGTTCAGCATGTTCTCATAATGATTTAGCTGTAAAAATCTATTAAGACCTGAACCTTCAACTCTCTTCATTTCAGCACTAAGAACAGGAAAAATAGAATCACATCAACGTTTTTTCCTGTTTTCACTGCTGGCATAATCAGTTGTGCTGTGAACGCCCTGTCTGCAAAATAAGCAGTCTCACTCAAACAGAACAGCTGACTCTTCCCAATGGCACCCACTGCTAGCTAATCTGCTTAGAACAGAATTCTATCTAAAACGCAGGGCATGTATCAATTACGTTTCAGATTCCTTTCTCTCATATTTAGTCAGGCTTGGCCACTGAAAATCATTCTGAATGAACTCCCCTAAATTGCATACCTATCAAAGATTTATATTAGACTGTAAGTAGAAATCCAATTACGCTGGCATTGGGCAGGAAGGTCT